TGCCAGATAAATGGCATTAGAGCTGATGCTTGTCTATCCAGCTGCAGGAATTTGGGATGGGAGGGAATTATGGAATAGTTTTGGGTTGGAATGGATCTCAAAGATCACCCAGTGCCAGGCAGGGACACCTCCCCTGTCCCAGTGTGCTCCCCAGTGCCAGATAAATGGCATTAGAGCTGATGCTTGTCTTTATCCAGCTGTAGAATTTGGGATGGGAGGGAATCATGGAATAGTTTGGGTTGGAATGGACCTTAAAGATCACCCAGTGCCAGGCAGGGACACCTCCCCTGTCCCAGTGTGCTCCCCAGTGCCAGATAAATGGCATTAGAGCTGATGCTTGTCTTTGTCCAGCTGCAGGAATTTGGGATGGGAGGGAATCCTGGAATAGTTTGGGTTGGAATGGACCATAAAGATCACCCAGTGCCACACAGGGACACCTCCCCCTATCCAGTGCCAGATAAATGGGATTAGAGCTGATGCTTGTCCTTATCCAGTTGTAGAATTTGGGATGGGAGGAAATCCTGGAATGGTTTGGGTTGGAATGGACCTTAAAGATCACCCAGTGCCACTGTAGGGACATCTCCCCCTGTCCCAGTGTGCTCCAAGCCCTGTCCAGTGCCAGATAAATGGCATTAGAGCTGATGCTTGTCTTTATCCAGCTGCAGGAATTTGGGATGAGAGGGAATCATGGTTTGGGTTGGAAGGGATCTCAAATATCACCCAGTGCCACACAGGGACACCTCCCCTGTCCAATGCCAGGAGCTTGGAGCTTGTGCTCCTAGCCTTGCCCAGTGCCAGATAAATGGGATTAGAGGGTGATGCTTGTCCTTATCCAGGTGCAAGAATTTGGGATGGGAGGGAATCCTGGAATGATTTGGGTTGGAATGGACCTTAAAGATCACCCAGTGCCACACAGGGACACCTCCCCCTGTCCAATGCCAGATAAATGGCATTAGAGCTGGTGCTTGTCCTTATCCAGCTGTAGGATTTGGGATGGGAGGGAATTATGGAATGGTTTGGGTTGGAAGGGATCTCAAAGATCACCCAGTGCCAGGGACACCTCCCCTGTCCAATGTCAGGAGCTTGGAGCTTGTGCTCCAAGCCTTGCCCAGTGCCAGATAAATGGCATTAGAGCTGATGCTTGTCCTTATCCAGCTGCAGGATTTGGGATGGGAGGGAATCATGGAATGATTTGGGTTGGAATGGATCTCAAAGATCACCCAGTGCCACACAAGGACATCTCCCCCTGTCCCAGTGTGCTCCAGGCCCTGCCCAATGCCAGATAAATGGCATTAGAGCTGATGCTTGTCTATCCAGCTGTAGCATTTGGGATAGGAGGGAATCCTGGAATGATTTGGGTTGGAATGGACCTTAAAGATCACCCAGTGCCAGGCAGGGACACCTCCCCTGTCCCAGTGTGCTCCCCAATTCCAGATAAATGGGATTAGAGGGTGATGCTTGTCTTTATCCAGCGGCAGGAATTTGGGATGGGAGGGAATCCTGGAATAGTTTGGGTTGGAATGGACCTTAAAGATCACCCAGTGCCATGGCAGGGACACAGATAAATGGCATTAGAGCTGATGCTTGTCTATCCAGCTGTAGGATTTGAGATGGGAGGGAATCCTGGAATGATTTGGGTTGGAATGGACCTCAAAGATCACCCAGTGCCAGGCAGGGACACCTCCCCTGCCCAATGCCAGGAGCTTGGAGCTTGTGCTCCAAGCCCTGTCCAATGCCAGATAAATGGGATTAGAGGGAGATGCTTGTCTTTTTCCAGGTGCAAGAATTTGGGATGGGAGGGAATCCTGGAATGATTTGGGTTGGAATGGACCTCAAATATCACCCAGTGCCAGGCAGGGACACCTCCCCTGTCCAATGCCAGATAAATGGCATTAGAGGGTGATGCTTGTCTTTGTCCAGCTGTAGGATTTGGGATGGGAGGAAATCCTGGAATAGTTTGGGTTGGAATGGACCTCAAATATCACCCAGTGCCAGGCAGGGACTCCTCCCCTGTCCCAGTGAGCTCCAAGCCCTGCCCAATGCCAGATAAATGGGATTAGAGCTGATGCTTGTCCTTATCCAGGTGCAAGA